AAAATACGTAATTTTATGCGACCGCAAACATAAATGCAAGTCCATGTCCGGCCCGGGTTCGAACCCCGCCCGCCCAGGTAGTTTTATAACGCTTTATCTAAAGTTCTTTTCAATGTTGCCACTCTGTTTATTTATTAAAACGATTCAATGAATTTATTCCTTTTGCTTTAATGTGCAATAAAATTTTATAACACGCGACATGTTATAAATAAAGTTACCTTTGGGACATTTTTTTATAGCAGACTACTCATCAAATTCCATAATAGTCAGAAAAGCGTTGCCAACATTATAATAACAAAGAGGGACTGCAGACGGAAGTTTTCTGAGTATCTCACTAGCGGTTGGTTTCTGAGACTAAAATATCTGTATAAAACATATCGTCGTCCCTTTCAATATCTTTGACAAAACAGAGAAAACAATATAGATCTTCTGGTTCTTCTATCGCTTAATATTCAGAGTCTGTCATGTATAATACCATTCAAACAAGCTCAACAATTTTAGGTATTGCGCGCGTTATTCACCACAGGCAGAGTCCCGGTACTTGCAGAGGTATTTGTTCGCAAATAACCACGAGCCTCTGTAAAGTTTGAATCTTATAATAGATATACACGTTCCCGGAACATGTCCACCCCTGACTACAATACGTGCTTGATGCGTCAGATAAGATGCTTATCTATTGTACTTAATGCTGCATCTCTTGGCTCACCTTTTCGCGTACGTGCCGTACCAAGCAAAATGTATCGTCGTACATTGACATATTTGTTACGATTTTACAAAGTTTTATGTTACTTATATTATATATGCAAATATTTAGATGTATGGATATTGTTAGAAGGTATCTGAAGAACGGCTGCATGGATCTCGATGGATGTAGGACATAGTCTGGAAGAAAAAATAATACTACTCCGCTGGCGCATCGACCCAAAGTGGGTCTTGTCCTCCGACACAAGAGATCGTCAAAATCGCCTGTCTTGTGCTTTCTCCTAACAGTCCATCGCTTGTAGCTCCCGCAGATCCTGCTCTACGGCGTCTCGCCAGCGGTATTTGGGCCGACCGATGGGTCGGCCAGTCGGGGTCCCGAGATATGCTGTTTTGGCCTTTCGATCTTCCCCCATCCTCAGGAGGTTGCCCAGCCAAAATAAAAAATAGGCTATTTTTTTTTTAAATTTCTTGCGCATGGAGGCAGAGGCGACAACTAGTATCTCAATAATAATCAATTTGTATTGTTGATTCTAATGAGACGTACTTAACTAACTTTTATTTAAAAAAAACCGGTAGCCAGTTCCCTAATCGACGTGGCGTGGTGTGACTTTCACTGTACACCCGTGTGTGTACACAGAAGAACGTGTGTACGATTGTGTTTAATACATATTACACGGCGCGGTCCGGACCCGGTCAATATTTGTTTAGGTTTCAGACCTACCGCGGCATAGATTCCGAGAACGACTACGCTCGATCTTATTGAATTATGGTGTACGATTTTATTTGGATGAGCCCTCGTGTGGCCGATTTGTTCCAAATATTGCCTCTTGTTTTGAACTTTTAACACTTACCTTTAGAGGAAATTGACTCGATTTTTTATGGATCTAGAACCTATCAATAGTTTATGTTCCCTTTCTGTGCTTCCACACATCCGTTGATTAAAGGTAGGCATCTTAAAATTCGTATGTCCAGCGATTTTAGGTGACCGCTCGCTCGTTTGCCACCTTTTGATATAAAAAATATATTTATACGGACATTTTGGTCTCAGAAACCCATGGTAAATAGGGGTATAAGACCTATCTGACAATTCATAAGAAAGAAGTAACAATATTTTGCACCCCGCATGCATATTTCTATAAATGTACACAGGCGTTCTTTTTTAAACCCAAAAGTAATTAACGATTCTGTCACCGGCACTCACAAGATGTTATAATTATGTTTTTATATATGATCATCATCATCATCAGCTCACTATACGTCCCCACCGAAAGGCTCGGAGCCTACCCTAAGTTAAGGGTGATTAGGCCATAGTCAACCACGCTGGCCAAGTGCGGGTTGGGTAACTTCACACATATCTTTGAATTACTTCTCAGATATGTGCAGGTTGCATCACGATGTATTCCTTCACCGTAAAAAAGTCGGATAAATGTACATATGCAAATCGGAAAGCGAAAAACAAATGGTACATGGCGGGATTCGAACCCAGGACCTGCAGATTGCAAGTCAAGTGCTTCACCACAGAGCCACCGACGCTCGCCTATATATGATGATTCAGTACAAAAGTGCATTTAAGTGGTTCAGAATCTCAAGGCTAGATTTCTTATCAATATTTTATTAACATGTCAGTTCGCGCATCAAGTGTGGCCCTCTTTCTGGGAAGTAAGCACTAGAAATATAATTAATTATCTTTTATCATATCTAAATCAATTCAATAAACGTATTATCTTTATGATAAGCTATGTTTGTGAGTGTCGTATTCAAATATATTGTATTCGATAGCTTCTTGGTTAGTTAGTCGATAAGAATCAAAGTAAATTTAACACATTTAACATCAATAACAAGCTAATAAAGCTCGTTCTGATGATCACAACAAATATCTGTCTGTTGGAAACCGTATTAAATGTACACCATTAACCCTTTATCTCACCATTCTAGATTTTTTGTCTCATTGTCCTAATACAAGATGATCAAACTAAAAAGAAGCGAGCTTATCACCACGGCGTTGTTGAACTCCTCGGTGTTCCCGCTGCCCTTTTGTTATAAAAAAAAGAAGATATATTTGATTTTAAAAATATATACCACTAACTGTTGGTATCTGAGATCAAATACTCTATATAAAACATATCGTCATTCCTGTCATCTTTACCAAAACAGATAACAATAACTCAGAAACCCACGGTAAAATAATCAAAAGTCTGAAAGTATTTTTACCCAAATGGTACTATGTTAATAAATTGTCACGAATAATATTTAAAAATGTAGCAAACCGCTGTACATGAAATATTAATCTCTCTGCTCATTCATTACGAGCTCTAGTGTAATAAGTGAAATAAAAGCAGACGCCATTAGTGTTAGATAAGCGAAGCCGGGGGGACTCATTATAGTAATACTACGCCAGCAATTGAATCGCTGCTGACAAATTGTAAAGGCATTCTAGAGCTCTCCACTTTTATTTATGTAGATAAATAGAACGAGAAATGAAGAGAATAAACGTCTAAATTAGAAGTTATAATGAATGTAAAACGAAATACATGACTTATTTTTATTCAACAATGAGTTTGTGACCTAATTGTTACGTCTCTGTTTTATAAAATAGTTATTAGATTTTTCTCTCATTTTATTTTAACCGACTTCTAAAAGGAGGAGGTTCTCAATTCGTTTGTATGTTTTTTTTTATGTTCCTTTTGGAATTGAGTTAATTTGGTAGGCGTTTTTATTCAAAGTTCACTTAAATAATTATAAATCTCTGTCTATTATTAGGCAATCGTATTTTCGAGTATGTTATGAAATAACAAAGTGGTATATATGTATAGCTGTTGCCCGCGAGTCCGTCCGTGCGGTATTAAAAAAAACATAATTAGTAGCCTATGTGTTCTTTCAGACTATGCCAAATTTCGTCGAGATCTGTTCTGCAGTTCTGGAGATACCTTCAAACAAACATCCATCCAACTAAACATTCGCATTTATTATATAATATCAGTATGATTACACTTTATTTATATTTCATCCATTATTTTATCCTTTTTAACTAACATTCGCTTATTTTTAAAAGTCGAAAGAAACGACAGTTTGTTTTATACAAGTTTTTCGACAGTGGAAACATTCTAATCAACAAAAGAAAAAACAACGCGGTTAACATAAATTGCTTAAAACGTCCAATAATAACATTCAAGTCGGTGAAATTGAAGACAATGCGTACTTTACCAACTCACCGAGGCGGACTATCGTCGAGTACAGTCGTCGACAATTACGCTAAATGAGTCCTCGTCTCGGTACAATTTCCCCGTCAGATGCCCCCACCCTTTACTGACGTGGTTAGCACTGTACTCATTTACTTACGTGACTGTACTTCTATGCTTTCAGTGTACCTAGAAACGTGAAATTTATACAACACTTTTGTTATGAAGTCTCCAACCAATTAGGAAAGCTTGAAATCTTACCTCTTACTATAGTTAGAAACCGAATGTTTAGATGGATGGATGTTTGTTTGAAGGTATCTTGCAGAACGGCTCAACATGTTTCGTTGAAATTTGGCATAGATGTAGAACATAGTCTGGAAGAACACATAGACTGCTTTTTAAGTTTTTTAGTTCTGCGCAGACGGTGTCGTGGGCGACAGCTAGTATTGTACATGAAATCGAAATGTACAGTTATTTATAAGTTATGCAGGCCAAGTTGTTTGCAAAAGAAATTACAACACATATTGGAAATGCCTGTTTCTAATTTATTTACAAACGTTTATAATGTTCGTGAAAAACGTTAATATTCAACACTTCAGTAACGATGAACGATATCTAATACTTTTTCCTTTACTTAAAAACAGTTGTACGAAATTTCATTTCGATTTCAAATTTCAATCGTTTAGTTTCTAATGTAGAAACAATTGCTCTTTCTACTGTTACTAATATGAAATATGATACCATCCCTCTCATTATCTTAGAAAGAAAAGAGACAACATTACATTTTAAACGATCACCTAAACGGGTAATTACATCTACACAACATAATATAGGAGACGTTAAGACGAGAGATAAAATTCTAAACAAAAAGAACGAGTTCAAATCTCAAACGCCGTAATTTTTTTCATTGCTATTTTTTTTTGTTTTCGAGTTTATACTAAAATAAAGAAATGTTACATATGTATTATTATTTAGTTTAAATTAAAAAAAATATTGATTTTAATATGCATACAGTAGATGGCGCTTTTTCATCTAGTAGAGTCTTACGTTTTCTTTTTTTTTAACTAAGGTGTATTAGTTTGTTAATTAATTTAACAATGTATTTATATTTCTCATCAGGTAAATTCGAACATCATCCAGCAAGTTTCAACATGGGCTATCTCGTAACTCCGTACCCTTATCCCAACGGTGGGGCACATCCACTGCCTGTCTCTATGGTAAGTTCTTTTTAGATTTAAATATACAAATGTACTAACTGTAAGCTACCTAAAGGTACGCGTCTTTTGGCCCGCGCCGGACACTCCGCACGCACCGATTAAACGGATTTGCTTTGTCTTTCGACGAGATCGGCGCATGATGGACGCAGCGTTGTGTTAATTCATACAAAGCAAACTAAAATCCGTTGCGGGCGGATCGCGTAGTGCGTCTGGCGCGGGCTAATGGACGCATACCTTATGGGATTTATGTAATTCTTTGGATATTTGCCACAATTCTAAAGTGTATTTTATATTTTCTTTTGGTTAACCAGGAAACTATTATAAAATAAATGTTTTACATTCTTTACTTAAGTAATCTATCCAAAGTACTATGATCCAGAACAAATATAAGTGGTACTAAACAAATGTACGTTTGTTATAAATATAAACATTGCAAATAAATCATATTTTAAAACTATTTCTGACTCGCCATATCGAACACTCAAGATATTTTTATCTAATCACAATTATCTGCGATGTCAGAGCGTACAACATGACGATTATGCACCGATACTTCACATCTCAAATACTTTATTTGTATCCGTTTTTCATAAATATATAAATACTAGCTGTCGCCTTTGAATCCGCTCGCACGGAATATAAAAAAATCCAGACGCGAGAACCTTGCAGTCGTTTTGGAGATACCTTCGAACAAACATCCATTCATTCGTCCAAACTTCGCATATATATTATTAAGTATGAAGTACGAAGTATAATTAGAACGATATTTTTTATGTTTTATATTACAATTTAGTAGATTTCATAGAAAAATAGCCGAGAATACCAAGTATCCTAAAATATTGACAACTAAACTTACTGTCCGGAAGTAATAATTATCATATTTCTGTATTTACGATCAGTCTGCGTCAAAATACATAAACGTAAATGGATGGTTTTCATCGTATTTTAATCGTATATGCTATTTTTATTTGATTATTTCTCAGTAATAACCACGCCACGTGCACGTCTTCGAACCCGGGACCAGCCGGAAACGGTTACACAAACAGTTTTTATTTTTGTCTTCATCCTGCATACGGACGTGGAAATTACCCTATCTATATATCTTATGACCATGTTGTATACCCAAACTAACTGCAAACCGCGATTTTGTCCGCGCGAAAATTTAATTAGTAGCCTATGTGTTCTTTCAGACTATGTTCTACATCTATGCCAAATTTCAGCGAGATCTATGCAGGCGTTCTGGAGATACCTTTTGATAAACATCCATCTATCGAAACATTCGCATTTATAATACAATATTACTAATCTTCAATTTTATTTGCTTTTTAACACAAATTAAAAATTAAAAAACAAGGGTGAAAAATATGCATTTTGTAATATTAAAATTGTGTTCTAATTTTTTTTAAATGATTCCGTAAATATTAGATCGTGGTGAAATTGTGTCTTAAAACTGGTGAGTGTTTCCGTCATAAAGTAGGTGACAAATTTAAAGTGTGCTAAGTAGTGAGGTTATAAAAATATAGGAATTATTATAATGTGATTTAGAATATTTTGGAGCATCAATAAATCCATGATATTAAAGATATTGATGGTCATATTCGATATTTTATTTTAAATTATATCACTTTAAAAATTATAGCTACTTAATATTTAATATAAAATTATGTTAACTAGTTTTTACTATTATTTAAAACAGAAAACATTCATAAATAAACAATAAAATAAATGGAAACGTGGAAACGCAAGGTTTTCGTTAAGAATTCATTTCCATGGTTAAGATGCCACACTTTACTATCGTTTACAGCGCGGCCATTTTAGATCGAGTCAACATAATAAATGAATATTTCGTATAAATTTAGTAGCCATTAGTGAGCTGTAAAGTTTATATTTTTATACGCGGACGTAAGCATTAAATAGAGTTTCTTATTAGTATCGACATATTAAAGTGCCCTCAATACTATAACATCGATAAAATATAATTTTACGAGTCACAAAAGTACAGTCGGCCACATAAAATGCAAATGGGGTAGATGGAAAAGAAATTGACGTTTGAAAATCGAACGCGCTATCTCAGACCCGATAACCGTTCGATACCTAACGCGGAGTAAGCGAGTACGCATGCACCGATCTCGCCATTCAAATCCTTAGAAAGAAGTAAGAAATGAAAAAAGAACCTACAGCGAAAATATAAAAGTTTCACAGCAACAGGTGGACATATGGCCGTCTCATTCTTTTCTACACGGCTCTAAGTTTGGTCTCTGTTGTGCAGAGCCACCCCCACGGTCGCCGCCCCCGCTCTGGGGCGGGAAATTCGAAGGAGGGGATGGGATGAAAACGCTTTTCTTTTTGCTCGCGGGGTGTGTTTTAGAGCTTTTGTCTGGGTGAATGCGGACGGCAATTTCGGGGTCGCTTGCTTTCGCTCCGCCGCGGGACCCGGCCATCGAATGCTTTATTTCTTTTCAAAAATATGACCGCGATCTCGTAACGCTAAGAAAATGTTTTAATCATTATGTTCAAGTTAACTTTTATTATCTGATATTTAGTACATTATTGTAAAAAAATGTAGCTTTTAGAACTGATTTGATTTTAAATTAGAAATTATTTTTTACTAACTTAAACTTTATACTCAACGTCAAAACTATGTAGTACATTTTCAAAACTCAAATCTAAACAATAGAACTTAGTTCATTCGACGTCGAATTTATCATAAGTAATATTAGGTTTAGAAGTCACAGCACGGTACAGATGTTAGATCGATTTTCAAACAATAGGATATCCCTGTATCAAAGGTAGCTAATGAAGTAAACAGACGCTGTGACAAAGTCAGGCTCCGTGTCAGAGGTGCTGCGGATTACATCTAAACTTGTAGTCAACTATAAAGTAGTTTGTTCGGTCTGTGTGTGCACTGCCTAATCCGGTAAAGGTCATTGAACTTTGCGCACTTTGTTCTTAACATTGTTCATTTTATTTAGTAATTTTTGTAACATTTCAACTTTAACTGTAATCGTAATAAGACGTTAAAGATCATATTTTATACGTTATTTTTGCGTTTGTTTTCTAAATGAAGTAATTAAATCGATTGTGGGATAAATGTTATGGCATAAAAATTAATTAATTCACCCTTTTAACAACAATTAAAATGAAATTGCTCAATAGAAAGTTTTTATTATTATTTTTTAAACAATAATTTATTTTAATCTCTTAAAAGTCTATTGCGCATTCAAAAGCACCGATGTGAGTGAACGTATCATCACGCGTCATCACTATCACGTATGTTCGTGATACCCGCAGTCGGGTGTACCTAGCGTACGTGTAACGGTTTATCTTACCTACGATATGGGTGATGTACCCAGTCTCGTGGTATCGTGGGTCTGATAGTCAGGACGTCACGGCTCTAGGCACTAAGACGTCCCCTACCACTGAACTCGTTTTGGATACAAATTTCGAAATTTAAACAAAAAGTTATTTTTGCGCACGGTATAAGAATAAAAATCTGCCTTAATAAACCTTTCTCGACAGTACGTTATCCGATAATTTTTTACAGACATGAAAAAGTCCCAATAATCCTAAATAATAAATGCGGTAAAGCGTAAAATGTCGAGCACAAAGAATCAATATTTAGCCATCAAGGTAATTAGCGTCGCTCAGGAAATACGTAGAGTCCTCATCGATCTCCAGCGAGAGTTGCAGCGCACCCTTAAAAAGAGCGTTCAATTCCCGTCTCCAATTCGTCTCCGATACCGGCCATAATTCCGTCCGGGAAAATCATTACACACGCCCCGGTAATTCGAATTTCGAGAGGCCCGCTACCCCACCCACTATCCGACCCGCTACCCTCCGGCCCGAGGGGGGGACTCCCCCTACCTTCCACGCTGCATCTCATTTTCAAATACTATACTAACGGCTAAGCTCCGTTTCCTATAATACCGATCTCGTACTATATGCGCTAAAATGAACCCTACCCCTATCACAATATAGGCTATTTCACATTCTTGATATCGAAACACGCGCACACCAATTGTAACTTTGTACAGTAGAAGGTAAAGTTAGAATTTCTTTGAGCTTTCTTCGCGGGCGCTATCCGGATTTGGACTGTAACTGCGCTCCTGGGAAGGGGAGCGCTTTCCACTGAATAATATAGGGGAGATTTCCTCTCTTATTTTTTCGTGAATTTTTTATTTAAGAAAGGGATAAGATTTTAATGTGGGCGCTCGCAGCCTTTATTACTCGCGATTGCGAGAGATACCCTATTGTTGGGAGTCTTGATGCGTGTGGGGTTTCCGCTTAAAGTATTCTCTATGGCAGATATATCTCGGGGACACCGGCCCCCGCCCGGCCCGGCACCGTAATGACGTTTTAGGAGATTTCTTTTTTTTATCCGTTGCTGTTTTGTCAGCCGCGGGCGCGGCGTAATCAGCGGAATTTTTGTTTTTGCGGAATGTTACATTTTTGTCTCGTAAAAAGCAACTTTGATATTATGCTACTGGTACACTTTTCTTTAAAATAACTCTAATTTTAATTACTACATTAGTAAAGTATAATATGTAACAATAATTACTTAACCAACAAATTTAGAGTACATAGAAAATGAAGATATGATGATAAAGACACGATACATATTAAATTGAAAATCGATTTCAAATTGCGTATTGCAATTCATTGTACCTCATAGTTACCTCATCTACAGTATGCCAATAAGTAAATGTATTACATTGAATTGTTATTCATACTTAACATACGCTTCGTGAATAGCAAAAACCTTTTATAAACCCACGCAAATGTATTCCCATTCACTCCAACATTCCGAGAATCACAATCGACTTAGTGCGCGTCATCTGTAACTGAGCTAATCTTTTCAAGTCGACCTAATGATTATTCCGCTCGCAATGACGGGAGCCTTCGCCGGTGTTGGTGGCGGAAGCTAGGCCACATTCCCCGGCACTGCTTGCCCTTGAACCGTACCTCTTTGAACAATAGCGTCATGGTTAACGCAAAATGCT